TTTTTTTAAATATAACATTACATTTAATTTTTCTATTAGCTTCTTTTCATGAGTACAAAAAATGAAATGAAGAGAAAAAAATGAGGATTCACAGGCATATTGTACGTGGAGGAAAATAACAGCAATATACAGCATCAAAGATGTACAGGGTACCTCAATTTTGTTTAACCCAGTGCTGGCATAAAGGTAGTATTATAAAAAATTGATCGGTAAATAAGGTTACAAGAATCGTTTATTTTATTTATTTATTTTATTGTTTTTTTTAATTAAAATAATTTTTATTTAAATGCTTTTGCAAAATCACTTGGTCGATTCTTGCGCACTTAATATCGAACTGTATTGTATATTATTCGGAGACCGGAATGTATCAAGATAATTTTATTAATTTTAGATATGGATAAAATAAGCAGTCGTTTTCTGTGACCTTATCCGTCTTGGTATAATTTTTAACTATCGATTCGAACGGTGTAGTATCGATAACTTTAAACTCATGGTAATAATCTGTACATGTTGTAAAAACTCAACTAATTTGTGGGCTCAGAATCGCCGTTTCATTAGCGTTCTTTCATCATTTGGAAACCCACGTTTTTTTTTTAATTTGTCATGAAATGTGTTTGAAGAAATATGGTTTTTCCATTGTAACGTCAGCATAAAGTTGTACCTAAAATTTTTTTTAATTAAAAAATTTTAATCGTCTACAACAGTGATGCTTTGCACAATATGAAAGTAGACATGCCGTGTACGTGCATGCGTATGAAACAGTTTTGGGCTTAAAAATTCGAAAATAAGGAAGACGCGAAGAGAAGTGATAGTTAATGCAAATAGTTGTTGATACACAGTTCTTATCTGTATGGCACACAGAAGTGACAAAATAAATGAAGAAAAAAAAACTTTTTGATCGTTTATCGCGCTCTTGTTACTCCTTTATCTGTTATCTTTGCTGTTTATCTTTCTGAGTGTATGCGTAAGTGTGCACGTATGCACGCTCGTGTGCGTATTTGTACTCGCATTTCGCATATGTCACAATGATGAAACGACCATTATTGTATGCTGCGTATACTGAGTAACTGACTTACTGACACTGACAGAACACCGACTCGTACAAGTATCGGGAATTATTTTTAATGTTTAAACTTCCACCAGAGACATGACTGCAATTCACGAAACGATGGAAGTGATCGAAGTTGTTGGTGACCCTTATTGCGTTACCAAAATGCTATGCTTGATAGGAGTATTATTAAAAAGTGTAGGCTTATGGTTCCTAGTAAGTGCTAAAGTGACACTACTCATACAAATCCTTTGGTATCAAAATTATGCTGGTAAGTTTTTGCGATTATTGATTCATATCTCTGTGTGTGCATGTGTGTGTGTTGTAAAATCGTGTACTTTCCCACGTAACAGTACATCGAGGAAATGAATATTTTTTGAAAAATAACCTTACTCTGGTATGTAATTGTTGGCACAGGTATTTGTAAAAGTCTACAGTTCTGTACTCAACTTCCTGCTTTTACTTACAAGCGTACCACTGAGAAATTTGATAGCTTGGTGGTTAGCGTTCTACTTTTCCTGGCGTAATAAACTTGACCGATACGTTGTTTCGATACTCGAATATTTTTTAAATCTTTTTCTGATATATATATATATATGGTGTATTGCAC